GAATAGTATTCTACTGCATTTAACCATGTACCCCATCTAGTGATAATTGGTTGAGGTGGTAAAGGTAAATTTGGGAATAGTTCACGTAGTTTGATAATTCGGCTGGGAGCTTTCAAAAATACTTTTTTAATTGTCGCTATTAATTTATCAACAGTAGAATATTCATTTCGTAAACATTCGCTAATTCTATGAATCCCATGTGCCAAACATGTTAAATGAATTAAATTAGGGTATAACATAGTCAAGGAATTCGCTGATTTAACCATATATGGCGCGGCGTCAGAAACAAAAAGTAAAACTTCTTCGTACTTCACTCCTGATGGCCATAATAGGTGCATTGCATCATTAAATATTTTGCCAATAGTTTGGAAATTACATTTTTCTAGTTCTTCACACATTAATAGATACGGCTTTGAATAATTGTCTTCGTGGAGGAGACCAACTATGACGTTACAAACATATCGACCGTCAACGTCCGTGGTCTCATCTATTGAAACCCAAATTGGCCCATCACCAATTTCCGAACGAATACGAGAAATAGTATTTTCATAAATTGAAGAAACATAGTTTTTGCGAATTGTAGACTGGTCAGGAACACATTTACCAGTATATTTTTCTAAACAATTTTTAAATGATGGATGATTTAACCTCCATAAAGGTATATCCGATTCTAACATTGCTTGACATAAATCTAGAGGAAAATTCGCTTGTTTATTTTGGTTATCTAATGTATTTTTAATGAACGACTGTTTAGATTTGGCTTTTAAATTAATATTTTTGTTATGCTTGCCTGTATTTAAATGCTGTACCACCTGAAAACGTTTTGTTACGGGCACAGCTTGATCACAAATAATACAATATAATATTTTACCATCTGTTTTAAAAATGTCACTTGAAAATTCTTCTACAAATTGACGTAACTTGGCACTTTCACTTTGAACTTTCGGTATTTTATAAAATTGTTAACTAATACTGTTATTAAAAGAACTCAAATTTTAAGTATAAGTGTCCGCACATTTATGCAACACACGTCGTACTAATGAAATTAAATACGTCGTTAAATAATGTGTAGGTAATCCTATCGGTCGTAGATAAGATAAGATTAGATGGGTAATATTTATACTATATATTTACAATTCAACGGATAAACATTCTTTACTCTATGGTATAGCCCCTCTATACATTCTTTACTCTATGGGATAAACCAAAAACTATCGGTATTATGAAATAAACGCCATTTAAAATTAACAATAATTTATAAAAATTTAAAAATTTAAGTTAAAAAAAAATAAAAAACCTTAAAATCTATAAATATGCAATTATATGCATTGTGTTCAAAATATGCAAAAATATGCAAAAAAAAATTGATTTTATTTAAACGAGAGTAAGCAAAATCGTGGACAAATTTGACAAACAATCGATTTGGACTTAAGGAAAAAACATGCAAATGTATATTAATCCTAGCCCTAATTATTATCAATATTATAAGTCCTAAAACTGGTTTTTGATAAAGATCTACAATAACTTAAGTCCCATGTTTTTTATTAAATTCAAAAATATAATACTTTAACTTTAAAAACAACACATAAATAAACTATCTAATGATAAAGCATGTATATTTTTAATATTTAAAGTTAGTTTTTATAGGTACATAAATTCAAAATTTATGGTTTGTAGCTAAGCAACAATTTTTATTTTTCAGTTATTATGCTCTTATGAAAAGTTGGCATACTGTGACTTACGTTCGTCTGGTTCTGAAGTATAGATGTGGCCCATACATATTTATTATTTTTTTCGTAAATAAGTGTGACACAATTAAACCATTAATTAATACTATTTAATACCACATTGTGTTGGGCACCTATCTTCAACGTCGTTCAATATAATGACATGATTATATTATTACGAATTGCAACTTTTCGCATATTAACTACTCGTATATTATTGGCGACTAATGAGAAAACACAAAATACGTTTCAATTGTTATTTATGTTTTATTCGCAGCGTATGGTGTTCAATTTTTTTTTTTTTTTGACAGGGTTTATACTTTATTTTCAACTATTATCAGGGCTGGGTAAGATATATAAAAAAGAATCTAAATACAAGATACAAGATACTTCAATAATTTTAAAGATACTGGATACAGGATACAGGTAACTGATAACTAACCTATACATTTATTAATATTTATTTATTTGTTTATTAACTTACATTAGGTTCAATAAAAAAGAATATAAATATATTTATAAATTAAAATGTTTATTTATTAACTATTATATGTTTAAATTTAAAAAAATTATAAGTAGTAGGTATTATAGTAAAAGTAACCGGTCATCGCACACAGTCCAAAATAAATGTTCAGCGTGATAAAATTAAGAAAACATTCTGCCGATAAACTGGATTTATGTAACTTATTGATTACAAAATTTGCTCATAATGAAGATTATATTAAATAAAATCTTTATTATGGGCAAATATTGTATATATTGTTCATTTAACAAGTGAATGCTTTCGACGTGAAAAACTTTAATTTAAATTATTAATAATTATTATTATATAGCATAGATTGTAACTAGTATCTTTAACCACCAAAAAATACTAGATACAAGTCAAACAAGTATTTAAATCCACGATGCAAGATACAATTGTATCTCAGATACGTATCTTAAATACTAGTATCTAAGATACGGCCCAGCCCTGACTATTACACATTGGCAATTAAAATGGTACGCAACAAAATTTTTAAAAACAATATATGTATTTGTTAATAAGTTGGTATCTTCCCATGAAATATTTCACGGTTTGTTAGTTACCTAATATAACCGATAATGGGGGAACAATGTATCAGCACGGAACGTTGTTTTTCTCAATAATAAAAGTCTGAGACATAACAGCAGTAGAACATTTTCAAATTTACTGTTGATAAAAATACAATTTTGCTTTTACAGTTTCTTTTTTTATTAAAAACAAATTAAACAATAATGTACTAACAAGGCTCCTACAGGTGAAGCGGTTGGCCTCGATTGGCGGCTGCACTTATGCACCTAACCCAGGGTGTATCTTAGAGTTGTACTGCAGTACGGGTGACCACAATTATAACAAAAGCCACATGTTATATAAATATACATATATATATATATAAACAAAAAATCACGCCGTTGACACGTTAAAATAATAATAATAAATAGTAAATATATCAATAATAGCTCGCGACAGAGCAATACAATATAAAATAAATTATGCACAATAATATAAGGAATTAAAGCTACGCGTCACAGAGTGCGAGCGTTCATACCTTGGTCGGTCTGGGGTTCATTCGGTTCTACCCACGCGACGGTGCTCAAGACATATGCGACAACCACCAAGACCAGTAGATGACTTCGTAAGTAAACGGAAATTTTTCCTAAGCAGGAACAATCAGCAGTATTTTCAGGCACCGGTCACTGGAAACGATCCATCGCAAAAAACGACGAATACCCCGGGAAGTTGTGGATGTCGAGTTTACAACCCACACATGCGAAATGGCCCACCACGTGGTGAACTCGAAACAAGTACCACTGGACACTCGTGACGGCTGTGGGAACGAGCAGAAAGCGGAGGAGCGCTTGGCGTTGCACTATCCCGATCACGGGTGCCGAATTACAAAACAAAATTGCCGTAAAAACGTACAAATAGAAAAAAAATCAACGATCACAGTCCCAACAACAAACGTGCCATCGGCACCGGAGAAGGCAACTCCGAACGATACGGGGCTGGACTAAAGACAAAACGTAGACAGACGGGTAGCGCTGGTTATAGATTAAGGGAGTGTCTAGAATTTGTTTTTTTTTTTTTTGGGAGGGGGTTAATAATTTTCACTTGACTGAGGGATATAATTGTCAAATACAATGATATATATTCGTAATCTTATCCGCGACGGTAATTACTTATATTTTAAAATAACCTCGGTGGAAGTTTATGACATAAATAAAAAAGTTAATAAATAAGTTTATAACTTAAATTTTTAATTATTTGTTAAAATTTCGGAGGGAGAGGTTTGATTCCCTCTCCTCCCCTCGAAACACCCTTAGTATAGATACATACCAATACTACGTCCTTGCCTTTTTTTTTTTATGTGGCCATTGCATAACTGTAGATTGTTCTTTACAAGATCATAAAAATCAGTATCAATATCTTACCTACCTTACTTTCACTATACAATGAGTCATAATAAAAAAATTATAAAATTACTCATTTGCATAAATTGGAAAAATGATATTCAACATTAAAAAAAAAATATAAGATATAGAATGAAATATGTTTATAGGTGGACATGTGTAATTTATAATTTTTTCACTTGGAAACAAATCATATACCAATTATTTTACAAACGAATCAATATATTATTATATTTGAAATGTTCTTTACCAAGTATCAAAAATAACTAGATTTCTTTAACTGTATTCATAGAATATTTGTTCTTGGCTCCTAAAACTATTATTGTTACTATTTTTAGATAAAATATTATGGTACTACATTAAGGTACTATATTTATAATAACAACAATAAAGTATGTATATTTCAAGGACAAGTAATTGTTGGTTATTTAATTTTGTTTACATCATTACTATAAGATACACAATTTATTTTTGTATCACAATATTAGCTACCACCAAAAATTGTTCAATTTAGTTTATTTAGCACTGATAGCATAAGAAATATAAAAATTAAAATTTTTTTTAAGGATTGTGAGCAAGGTAAAAATCAGGAAATATAGATGAGGTAATACGATTTTTTTAATAATTTATTATTTATATTATTATTATTAATAAATTGTCAAGAAAGCAAATATTAGTATAACACTAAAATTACTTTATGCAAATAGTAAAAAATAATAAAATAGGTAATTTATTTAGAAATAATTTAATATACAGAGTAAAATATCAATAAATTAACATCTCAAAACAAAAATAATAAATAATTGTAAAAAAATACATATTTTAGTAAAAAATGCTAACACATTTACGTAAACCATTTTTAATTTTTAATAATTAATGTTTTCGACAGTAAAATAAAATGTATGCTTCAGAAGAACAAATCATTGAAGGATCAATTCCATACACCCGAACATCATCAAATTTATACCATCTGGAAAAAGTAAATATTAGATATACTCAATACAATTATTTTGTTCTGATATACATTATATTAGGTTAACTTTCAATTACTTGTTTTTTGATTTTTTAAGACAATTAGCAGTGTAATGTCCACCATCGAGAGATCCAGAATGGTTTGATACACCATATAAATAATACTTCCGATTTCTGTGTTCTATACCATTTATGAAGTTTGACATATCTAGGTCAGTTTTAGGAAATTCAACATCTGAATTTTTTTTATAACCATTGCTTGAAAATCTGAAAAAATATTATATTTAATATATAGATTAATTATAAATAAAAATAAAAATAAATAAAATACCTTTTTAGATGTATAATTAAATATGGTGGCAATCTCATAATATCTAATTTTTTGGTAGCATCTCTAGTACGTTTACATTTAGGACAATGCCAACCACATATTGATTCACCATTCAAGTATAACTGTAGACAATCCTAAAATAAACACCAAAATACTCTTAATAGTAAAATAAAACGTAATTTTATAATTTTAAATTGCTGTAGAATATCTACTAAAAATATGGTTCTCTTACATATTCAAAAATGCCTTTATAACTATTAAAAAATTATCAGTTTAACTTAAAATATGTTTTTTAAATAGCCATTATGTTGATTGGATTATTAAAAATGTTAGATAGAATTAAAAATCAAGAATAAAATGAGGATATTTCAACATTTTTATATTTTTTATTTCATTTAAAATAAAATAATTTTACTAAAAATGACAACATATTCTTAATCAAACAAAGTTATAAAATAGTTTCCTTTTAAATTGATTAAATTTGTACAATTTTTCTTATCCTTTGCCTTTCTCTAAACTATTCAGGGTCAGCCATCCTTGTCCTAAATCACCATTTGCCTCAATTTTCTGCATTCTTTACGCACACACCAACAGTCTTCATATTGTTTTCAATCGTATCCAACTAACTCTTTTTTGGTATTACTCTTGTTTCCTTTCAACATTCATTTTTATAACCACTCTCATTGTTTAAGTTTTCTCTCACCTCATCACATGCTCAAACTATCTCAGTCTATTTTCTCTCATATTGTTCACTATCAACGCTACACCAATACTACTCCTCACATTATCGTTCTATTATCTCTTATTGTTCCACTTATCCATTAAATATGTACACTAGGCATCTAAATTTCTTCCTATGGAAATACACAAATACACATTTTTATACATTCATGTTATAAGTTCCCTCTAAAATATTTAAAAAAATATATAAAATTAAGAAGAAATTATTAAACTTAAAATATGACACATATATTTTGAAAATAGTTAATATTTTCTTTTTGGTAAAAATTGTTTTTTTTAATGACTAAAAAAAAAATGTATTAAAGAAACAAATATTTTGAAAATTATTTCATTTAATGCATACACTCTAATATATTATCTATCAAGACAATTTAACACATTGTAGTTGTACTTACGGAAAGTGTACATTTTTTCCCCTCTGATGGTAATGGTAGACTGAGACTTGAAAATGGTTCAAAAGTTACTGATTTTTCAGAACATGTATCACAAGATACTGTTGATTTTTGCTGGCCATAAAAAAGTTGTTGAATGATAGAATTATTTGCCTTAGTCCAATGTCCCCAATCTTCTTCACCTGTTTCCTTTGAAGCTCCTAAAATAATTCTATTGTCTTCAGGCTAAAAAAAATAAAGCACAAAATGTAAATTAAGCTTTAGATGAAGTAAGAAAATTAAATTGAACAAAATTGAATAATTAAATATTCAACAGCATAATACAAGATTAATAGTTAACAAATGTGTATATTAATTTATTACTTGATTTAAATCATCATGAAGCCAATCTAAAAGAATTGTTAAAAATTCATGTGAATCTTGTTGATCATAATGTTTAAACATTTCTTTGAAATCTCCAATTGTATCCTGTAATATTTTTAAAGATTATTTTAAGAACTCTATAAAATGCAATTTAATAACATTTAAGATTGTAAATATTTTGATAAATAGTTATTATTTTGAATTTATTACAATAACCATGATTATGAAAATATAATATTATCTAAAAAATTCACTTAATTTTAAAGTATATTATTTTAAACATAAATAAATACATTTTAATATTTTTAAGTACATATTATAATATATATAGTTTAAAAAATGTTCAATTATATATGAATTTACTAACCTTAAATTTCTGACACTGAAAACTCCTGTCAGATTGTAACCATAAATTTTTAATGACATTACTAAATTCTTTGGCAACTAAGCCTTTTGTTATACTTTTATAATTGATGGATTTACTATAAATATTTATGAAGTATTTAACAAGATCTTCAGTGCTACTCAAGCATTGAAGAATTGAATTCATGTAACATGTATTTCCTAAATTTAGTAAGCCCCGTAATCCATCTCCACTCTAAAGTGTAAAATCAAAAACAAATAAATAGATAAAAATTAGTATTATTTTATAAAATATAGTTTATTTATTATACGAACTTCTTTTTTTTTTCTTTTTTTTAGAATGTAGTATATCAGGGCCGTCCCTACAATATGTGGGGCGCCTAGGACAACTCTTTTAATGGGGTAAACAAAAAATATTTGATGATTCCACATAAAGGCAATTACAATCTCGTAACCACCCACATTTAAAAATAAATTAATGTAAGTTAGCTATCATTAAGAATTTTTACCTATTAGCTATAACGACATTAGCATAAACATCACCAACACTATTCCTAAGGATATTTTGTAAAACTTGAAGAGTAGTGAAGAACCTTTTTAAGTTATTTCTGAAAAAAGGCAAAGCATCATAAGATTCAGTATCACTTATTTTCATGTTTTCATCAATTTGTAGATCATGGTAATTCTTTATTAATGTATCTGAATCAACAGTAGAAAAATTATCAATATCAAAGAGAAATTCAAAATAGTTGTGAAAACGATTCCATTGGGCGGATCTTTGATTTATAGATACAATTGATTGATCTAATATTGATAAAAAAAAAAAAATTACTGACAAAAGATTCTTTTTCATTTGTTGAATATTATACAAGAGAACTTTCATAATTAAATATTGATTTCTTTAAATTACTTATTTTAGACTTAAATTCAGGTGTTATATTGATTTGTTTACAAGTATGTTTAGATTTTTATTTACTTCATTAAATTCATTTACTCAATTCTCATATAAAAATTGTTTATAGCAAAATCAATTGAAATGCTTCGATTTTACAGAGACGTACTTATTTTATTAATATTAATTAATAAACAATACCATATTACAGAACTACCTGTAAATTTGTAAGGCATTTAAAATTCAATAAGAGAAATAGCTTCACTTTTAACCGTCAGTATTTATGTAGATTCAATTACTTCTATTAATACTTCATTTATTCCTTTAAGTTGCATTATCACTGCCTTTACAGATTTTAATCGGTAATCCTAAAGTTAAAATAATTATTAATTAAATATATTAAACTCCCCAACAAATAATCTTTATTTACGCCTTGGTTTAGTATTATCTGTACAAATATATTATTTGATGCATTTAATTAATAATATAATATTTTTAAATAAAAATTTCAACTTAGTAATATATGTACCTTTGCATTTAAAGAAAACTTAGGACTTTTCAAGTGCTCAAATGAGAAGACTAAGGCACTGGGTCTGGGGTGTGAGCCTCACTCATCCTGGCCTTAAGACGGCCCTGTGGTATATAATAACTAAATAACTATATAAATGTGTAGAATATGAAAATAATCTTACCGTAATCTCCGTTCTTGAAACAATTAATAAATCATCTAATGGTTTAGTAGAACGATCTATAAGAGGAATTGAATGTGAATTTCTTGTCTATAAAAATTAAACAATAAAATAATTAAACTTTGATAATAGAAAATGCATTTCAGGAAAAATGTTTATGCATTCAGTTTTATAATTGAACAATTACATTTAAATTTTGTCTTCTAAGCATACTATTGATTATTTTATTATAAATATTTAAAACTGGATTTGTTTTATATTGTGAAATACTATGACGATTTTATTTTTTACAGTTTGAATTTTAATGACCTATTTCATTTTAATTGTTATTAAATCTTGGTTTTTATATTTTATACTTAAATAATAATAATACATTTATGTTATTAGCTCAGAATTACATTTACTGACTATGGAGAAAGTATCAATTTACAACGTAGTATTGGAGTGTAAAAAGTTGTTACATTTATATTGCAGTTTTTTAATTTTTAAGGTTATAAAGTAGAACCTCAATTAACCATGCTCATTCTCCTGAAAATTTGGATATACCAAAAGTAAAGGCATAGGGATGTAAGCAATATATTGTATGTAGATTAAAGATAACAAATAATATTAATTTAATAAATAATGTGTGGACTATTATAGATTTATATAAGTAGTTGATATTCTCCTGAACTATAGCGAGCAGGGAAACATTAACTTCCAGGATATTATATATTCAAAAAAATTTTGAAGTGAAGTAAGAAAAATAATTTCAAACCAAAAAAACAAAGACTTTAAATGTAAAGTCCTGATAATTTCAAAAATTACCAAATGTATTTAACATAGGTTAAATAAAAAATAAATTCAAGTTTAAACATAATGTTTTCATTTATCCATGTGACTCCTCTCTACCATACCCTCTAAATACTGTATATTATCATTACTGTATAGCCATATTTGGAAAGCTTTTATAACAGAACCCAATATTATAATATTATTAAAAACAATTATAATACCTGATTTATATATTCAGGAGTGTAAGAATCATTATCTTCTAAAATATTATTTTCTAATGATAATCTTCTATTTTCTACTTCTTCGATATGATATGGTAACTATAGAAATAAATACATATATAATTCATTAATTGATAACTTCTTACATTTATTTTAAAGCAATGGGAGCCATACTTCATTATTTTCATCATCTAATTCATCATTTATTTTATATAAAGGTTTGATAATTTCAGGCTTAGTAAATTGATTAATTTTGTCATGTGGCTGTAAAAAATGAAAAAATAATAAAATTATATAATTTATTATTACTATTTCTGTTTAGTTGATGATTGTATTACTTTAGTAGATCTGTCAAACATTGGTGGTTCAATTTGCGCTAATTCTTGAGTATCTAGTTCTTCTTCACTAGAATAATTATTAATATGATTTAACTTAGATTTATTATCTGGTAAATCATTATTAACAGTTGGTTTTAGTCTGTATTTGGTCATATTATGTAAACCATCCAAAGATGGATATTGAACTTGTTTGTCTAATAATAATAAATATCATTAAATGTTTATTAACAAATATATAATTTGATATTTATTACTTTCAGGTTCCTCATATTCAGGTTCTGGATCTAATTCAGTAACTGAAAGAGGTTCAACATCCATATTTGATTTTATTGTTTGATGTTGAGTAGTTTCCCATGGACATACATGATTAAAATCTTCATAACCACCTTTGAGAAACTTTACTTTTTTGCTATTATTTCGTGTTATATCCCATTTAAGTAATGCATTTCTAAGATTAATCAATTTTGGATCATCCTCTATATCTTCTGTTCCTTGATCTAGTATTACAATATAATCATATTTATGTCTCATCATCCATTTTTCTCTAAATGGTTCTTTTATAGTTTTCGTTAACATTTCAGCTGTTAATCTGGAATGTAATAGAATATTAATGATGTTATATCATAAAAACATATATTGAAATCTCACCCAGGAACTAAGTTTTCTTTTGGTATATTTATTACATCACAGGCAATAATTTTGAATTTATGAAAAATATCTGCTGGTCTTGTATCAAGTAAACAAATCTTTTCTCTGTTTGTATTATTCAGTAGAAATAATAGGTTTTCATTAGTTATTGTACTTTCAAACTCAAAAAGTTTTTTTTTCTCATTTGAATGTGAGCCATTTTGCTTTGAATATATTTTTGGATTATTATCTTCTTGTTCTCTTTTTTCTTTATACCTAAATTAAAAAACAGTATTAATAAATAAAAATTAATGTTAAGTAATATAAATAAATTTTAGAACATAATTTATAACATCCGACATAGAATATACTTTATAAAAGTGGATGATACATAGTCATTACTTCTAGACATTCCAAAGAAATTATCATACAATTATTAATTAATATCATTACATTAAAATTATAATTTACAAACTCGAATGCCATTATATGTTTATTTCAAATTTTAAAGATTTAAATAAAAAAATCTAAACAAATTTACTCAAGCTATTTCATAAACAGATAAAATAGTTATTGATTATACATAAGTATTGATATCTTTATTTAAAATAAAAAATGAAAAATAAAGTTTGTTTCTTCAAATTCAGTGACCATAATTTTTACAATCCCTTCTCCTTTTTCAGAAAAACAATTGACAGTAGCTGTTTAGTGATTATCTGTAATTTTACATAGAAGAAAATATACAAAAATAAAATTTTAACGTGACATAATACATACATTATTAAAGAACTTTGCTGCTAGATTCAACACAGTGGCATGGCAAACTTAACAATTTTCAGAGACAAGTACGTTTTGTCGACCCCCACCCATATGACTGTATTTGGGGGGGTCCAGGATGTCTTGACCTCCCCTCTCTCCGAAATTTCTTCAATATTTTACGAATGATTAAAATACTTATTTATTTACAACATAAATATTTTCAGTCAAAAATGACTTAAGCTCCAATTAATCATTGACTGCTTTAAATTTTATATCATAATATCATATAAAAATATGATATTAATTTTAATAAAAGAAAATTAAATCTTTTTCTATCTTATTTTCAACCAAATATCAAAAGTTAAAATCTTAATTTAATAAAATTACAATATACATGTTTTGGACCCTTCCCAAAAAAAAATTTTTAGATGCGGCCTTGCCCACCCACCTCCCAAAAAACTATGAGGCGACCGCTTCTCGATTACCCATATCATCACGCAACTAATTCAATATATATTTAAAAAAGTTAATAAAAGCTTTAAATTCTAAAGCCTGCTATTCATTAATCAGTCCAATTAGATTTTAAAATTTTACTTTAATATACTTACGACATAATTTTGGATAAATTAATCCTTAGAAAAATGTTTACCACAAAACATATTTTTAATTACCAACATAGTCATAAGATAGCAAATATAGAATAGATATCCTTACTCAATAAAACTAAAGGTAAAGCTTATAAAATTATACCTTCTTCCTGACCTTCAAATATGTTTTACCAATATTATTGTAATGATTAATTTATTTAATTTACAGTCTGAGTGTATTTAGATATACTTAATGCTTAAATAAAAAGCATCTTCTTATACAATAAGAAATAGAGTTAGATTCGTACCTATTTTCCAAACTCATTTTAACATGGCTCAACATTTGCATTGATTTTCTTAAACTACTACTATTCATTTTAACTATGTAGTCTGTATCGTCTATAAAATTATTTTTCATGATTTGAACTATTTCACAATACTTCATTAGATAAATATACACAGTTTCTTCATCATTTTCATTGTTTGCCTCCATAGCCGCATCAAATATGATTTTGGCTTTTTGATTTAATCTATGAAGAAAGCAAATCATTGAAACATTGATGTGTCAAATAAATACTTATTCACGAAGTGCAAACAGTACGTACACATGCAATTTCAAATTCTTTAACTTATCAGGCACTTTGGTCTTGATCTGCAACTCTTCCATGCATGTCGCAAGATGAAGGTCTTTTTTGTTCCTCATGATTTGTCTAAAAATAATTTGCATTTTACATTTTTACATGTCGTCGTTTTTCCGCAATAACTTTGATTTACGAATCAACGCGATACATTACCGAAATTATTCAAGGCGGCATCCGTTCACGAAACTTACCCTTGATCCAGACGGGGCGTTTTGACGTGTTGGAGAACGACTCTCGATCGAGTGCACTCGCGCCACTCGAAACGTCCTAGTCGTAGAACGATTCCCAGACGGTTGGCATGGGCATTCGCGCAGCTCACTGGTTCCGGGAAAAACCGTCGGTGTACTCACAGGGACGATACGTCGCCCAATCAACCGAACGGATCGCGACGTTCGACGACGTACTAACACGTCGGTGCCGCTGAAGCAGTTCGCCAATACTATGATCGGTATCTGGTTTCTAGTATCTCTACGGTGGTGTGCATAGGTCGTTGTGACGCGATAAGCGTACGACATCTACATAATCGTGCAGGTGATGCAACCGATGCAAGGTGTGTCCGGACGGATATTCTTACAACAAACGCATCGCGTACAGATAACGTTGAAGCATTTCCGTGATGGATACGGTTATCTCCGCGCGTAGCTGTTATCACGTCATATCGACCGACGTTTTTGTTCAACACCTAACCACGGTCGAATAGAATAACATCACAGAAAAGAATCAGAATGGACACCGATACAAAAATTACTCCGGCTCTTATGGGAGTACGGTAATTTGAGTTGAACTACGCTCAGTGTTACCGTGAAATTAAAGAAAAACAAAAATATTGTACACATCCGGTTGCTTATGCTGCGGCACACATAATATGCACATTACTGATATGATATGTCTCTAGCACAATTAAAGATAAATTTTAAAAACTTTAATCGTGATCCATAGTGACTAATGAACAATTGGAGTATAGGGGCAAACACCTAATAAATAATCTAGAACCATTTATGAGTGGGTTGAGGGCTCGATTTTGCCGTTTTTGTTCAAAAGTCATGTATTCAGTGCTTGATTTGGCCAAATTAAAGGGGGACTGTTTGCTTAAAAAAAAATTGCGTCCCCAAAACTTGTTAAGCGTTATAATTATAACGTATTAATAGTAGGGGGACGCTAAAATTTCTAAAAATTAGAAGGGGTACTCCGTCCCCCTGCGTCCCCCTTCAAGTCGAGCACTGCATGTATTTAATTATCTTAATAATAACATTAATGTGTTGTTGTAATGTGTATTTTTGTTGTCAATTATTTAAAAAAATATTGTGGTATAAATTTTAATTCAGAGTTTAGACGACATCCGAATAAAATTGTTAAATTGTTCGCTAAATTCTTAAGACCTAAGGTCGTAATTTAAACTTGATCCACTCTAGACACCAGTAGCATGACCAGGATCTTAAAGTGGGGGTGGTTCCAAGAAGTAGGAAGAAAGGATTACTATAGGACCCTAATAAGCAAAAATCTAAGGGCATTAGGAAACGATAGGTCTTAGCATAGGCGTAAATGGGAGGGGGTCAATGGGTCCTTAGAATAAATTAGGAGGAGGAGTGCCCCCTCTGATATTTAACATACCTTGTTTTAAAATAAGTAAAAAACAGCTGATTATAGCTATAGCTATAGCTATAGTTATAGCTATTACTACTCATATAACATTTTTTTTTTTTTTAAACTTCATTTTAAATTTTTGCTTGTCCAACATAATGTTAGAAAATTAATAATTTTATATAATAATATGTAAGTAGTAAAGCGGCATTCAGCTTCGGACACCTTTTTCGTTAGATATGTAATTTTATTTTCGCTCCCTTTATAAATTTCCAAGTTACGCCTATGGTTTTAGGCACTTATAAGCTGCTAGTTAGACATTACACAAGTAAAACTATGAAATTGTAAAAATAAATAATATCAAATTATCAAATACTATAAATATATATAATAAAATTGTCTTGGTCCAATGCAGGGGATTAACCCTATCCTCCTCTGGGCATGCCACTGACAGCATCGATTAAATATACTATATAATATATGAACACTACAGTTTTTAAAAATATTTTTTTGCATCCATCTTTCTTTTCGTTTCTGATTCTTTTTTTTAATTATTGCATGAATTAAAATAAAAGCAAGATGTATCTTATAATTATATATGTTACTGGTAATATGAATAATCCGGTATTCTGCAAAATGCCAAAAATCACTCGGCAATATTCTTAATATGAGCTTTTCCTAAGTATTATGTATGTATAATGCCAAATGTGCAGTAGGTAATATGATGAAAATAAATAAAATTGGGCATCGTCTATTACCAACAACTTAACTTACCGTTGATCATAAATGTGCGTGCACGATTTAACGCAATAAATATTAAGATTCTTTTACTACTATAATAATAAATCTGAGATACAATATTGAACGTACTAAAAATTTTATTACAATATCATCATTTTTCTCGTCATTTTCGTGTCTCGTTATGGTGTTAAAACTATGGATACAATTTATATAAAGTCAAATTTTAATAACAAATTACAAAATTTTTTTAAAATTTGGCCACTAATACTAGTTTTTTATCTGATGAACAGTATAATGAGTTAATAGAAATTCAATCCACAAGAATTGGCCAAGGATTTTTAAAACGTATTTGTAAGTCCAAATGTCAAAATAAAAAGTGTACTTGCCTTAAAAATAAAATGTTGTGTACTTTAAAATGTCACTTTTTTACAAAGCTCTACAAAGCGGGTGGTAAAGTGGAAATCCCAAAAATTGCGGAGGGGGAAGGAAAAGAGGAAATCCCTATTTCCATATAATGGCTTATGAAAATCTTTTAAAATTGAGAAAAATAAATAAAACCAAATCGTTGTCGGAAAATGTATTTCTTACAAATTTTAACAAATTATCTACAGAAATTAAACCGTCAACTCCATAGTCTATTTATTCAATGCTAATTGAATAGATATGTAAAAACTTGAAACATAATCTTAAGGTTAGTACTTATTTAAAATTACAAGTTATTTTTAAAGAGAAAATCGAGTTGATTGAAAGTAAAAATTCCAAAGTTTTGACTTCAACCTATATAAAAACATTATTGACGAAGCGGCTGATATTCAATATTTAGTAAAAAGGTAGGTGAGATAAAATTGTTTTGTATATATTAACTATTTATTCTCCGTTCATTTATTACGATGTATGTAATATTCATCAGTGAAATATATATTACATATTAAACTTCTCTACTCAAAAACAAATTGTTCACGATCATTTACTATTAAAGGGGAGTTATATGATATTTTTAAGAAATACATGGATTTATGACCCACAAATGTAACGTCAGATAGATTTTTTTTTAGTTATAAAAACGGTTAATGCATCAAACAGGTTATTAGAAAAAACAAAATTGAAAATATGCCTAAAGAAATTGCAATATATTTAAACTTACTGTATTTCCGATCTGATACATGTCATTATTTCCGCTGAACTTCAGTAACATTACTTACCGATTCTGCTGGTGATGTTACAATTAGTGATAGGAATAATCAAATGGAATAATTGAATCATTCAATTATTATTTTTCGATTATCAAAATAATCGAATGATTTTAATATTCAAAATAATGGTAACAAACATATTTACTAAAAGCAAATCAATTAAATTACTCCAAAAATTTCGTGTTTTACTCATTTCCCATTAGGTACTAAATTAAGAAGTCGACTGTCCATCAGTATTGTACTGTTTTTGTTAAAAATAGTAAAATTACTGAATTAAACTGAAATTACAGGTATCTATTTGGTAAGGAGCCTAGGTTTTATAATTTTTGAGAGGGCCTACCGGGATTTTCCCGGTGGGCCAGTACGCGCCTGTTCATTAAATATGAGTGCGTATACCTTTAAAACCTCTTACATTTTGTTTGAACAGTATGATCGTATGTAATATAAAAAGAGAAATATATAATGTGGTGATACTGAGATCCCTTTAACTCGTTATCAACCAAAACTGAGAGTGTCCATTCTGATTTCATCTATTCTGTGCTAAAATCTCGGATATAATAGTTCCATGGTTGTTGTAATTCCTGTACATCAGTTGCGCGCTCTATGAATTTTTGCTACGAGCTACGGAGGGAAACGATCATGCGCGTTCGATTTGTGCATTTTATTTGTTGTGCAATGATCGTTGATTTGTGTTGACATTTTGGAGCCAGTGGCGCAACCAGAAGAGACTTAAGCCTTATCCGACTGTGATGTATAACCACCCCTCCTCCCTTCCACATCAAAAATATCTGGTTGTTTTAGGCAATATTTATTAAATTGTATTTGAACAAAGAGAGCAATGAATGTTGTCAAAATACTGTATTAGGTAGTAATATATTTAAAAATACGGGCAAGATACTAATGATGGGTGTATAGTGATTTGAGTAGATTATTTTTATCGTTATTGTTTTTTGTAGCTTATTTCTTCGAAAAGATAATGGGCCCCACTGAACAGGTTCGTGCGGGGACCTATGAGTTATTGATTTACAATATTATAATAATTAGGTATTTGGTATAAATTGAGCTAATTAAAGTGTACAATTTGGATAAAAACATTTATTATAAGAACTTATAGTTTAATAAAATATAATAAAACATATTACGTAATCAACTAGATTAAAGGTAAGTACCAAGGTATAAAATATATGAAGTTCTATATTTTGTTCATGCTGCAGTCTATTGATTTGTTTTGATTTATATTAGGAACAAATTATAAAAGGATAATTTTGGTCTTATTTTATTGTTGGCTAACTTGATTCCCGATGGTGTCTTGAAAAAATATAAAAAAAACAAAAATGCATTGTAAATTGAACTCGTTCTTCATTTTGCATCGAATTTAAAAAGTGTTACAATGGTTTGTAGGGTCGGATTAAGGTTTTAAAGGGCCCAGGGCAAGTAAGATTTTGGAGTTTCCATAGTTTGAAATTTATTCTATGATGATTGAGGGTCTCCCAAATTAATTTGACCCAGACCCTAAAAATCTTTAGGACGGTTTTGCTTTTACCAAGTGTATATATATTTTTAGTTTAAATTATAAAAAAATATTTATGTTATATGCATGTATTAGAGTAATTTATCACATATTATACCTAATTATACGTATATTTTTATAAAATAATTTATTAAGCTATTAACCTTGTATAAATATATTGTATCAATATTCTATTAACAACAATATTTTATTTTAAAACTAATATTAATAACAATAAATATTATTACTTGTAATAATATTCTTTCATTTAACTTTTATCTGTAGTTTTTTTTTGTACTACCTGGTGTCAGCTATTGTATGTTACATCAAACCTTTTATTCCAATCTGTTGAGATTAACTTTGATTTTTTTCTATCCAACTCTGTCTAGGGCAATCTTCAGGTATTTTCCAGTTTTTTTTCTATTAGAATTGTTTTATTATTTTGTTTAACATTCAGACACAGCCTGCCCACTAAATTAATTTACTGATAAGGTATGCCGGGTTTTTGATAAATTCGTAGCACTTTATTATTGGTTCTCCTTCTGAATATTTAATTGTTTATGACAGGTAGGTACATATATTCTTCCGAATATTCTTATTACAGT